TACTTGTGCAAGGTTCCATCCTGTAATTCTACCGTTAGATCGTCCATCAGCAACAGATCTGCCTCGTACCACATAAGAGCCGGGTACATCAGTAGTACCAGAAGTGCCATTTCCACTCCTGTCAACAACAGCTCGTTGCATGTTGCTTCGATGTTGTTGACCAGTTGATTGCGTTCCCGTGACGCTAGACGTGGCATCCGACTGCGCCGCAGATGCAGCCGCAGGGACTTGGAGATTGGCTCTCCCCGCTCGTCTTGAAGTGGTAGTAGTGGGTGCGTCGCTGTATCGCCCTGGGTCGCTCCATTCCGCTTGTGGGCGCGTGGAGCGTTCGGGACAACGGGTGACCCCATGGCCAGTATCTCCACAACACCAGCAACTAAAAGCCGGTCGTGAAGATGTCGTTCGAGCATTCGCTTGTGCGTTGCTCACTCCGTCAGGGGCACTACCGCTTGCAGTGTTTGGTCTTGGAGTATGTCTCGGTGTCGTTGGACCTTTCTTTCGATTGTCCGGCTTATGTTTGATCAGCGCTTTTGCGACCTGGTCAATCGTAGTCGGATATTCGTTTCTCTGATCGTAGTCCTTGAATTCCATGGCGTAGGTCTGGTTTGCCTTGTCCAACATGCTTTGGAAGCGAGACCTGTCGCAGTTGTAGAAAAATGCACTTGCTTTAAATGTTTCCAGAACTTCTTTCTTGAACGTTTCTTGGAGTGCCTTGGTATCGTCCGGATCGTCCTCCGGATCGTACAGATCTAGGTACCCCACTGTTTTGGTCGCATAGACATGCAACACATCGATGCCAAGGATTTCGAATACTTGGTCAGCTTGAGCTTCGAACCGCCTTCTGTAATCGTTCACAGACTCATTTTGCTTCTGAGTGCAGTTCGCGAATCTCTTGAGAGATTCCATGAGTCCAAAGTGTTGCCACTCGGTCTCATCCGTGATGGTCATGAACGTCTTCATACGCTTCAACAGCATCACATGGTCTTCCTTGAGGTCCGACCAATCAGTTTCATTGCTTAACTTATCTCTCATTGCTTGAGTGATGAAATGCTTAGTGATGATCGCAGCCACGGTATATTGGTTCGTAGTGTAGATCACCTCTCTCTTGTCAATCTTGTTATTTAGATTTTCCCAGTTCCTATCAAGTTGAGTCTGTCTCGAACTTTTGTGGAACTCGGAATTGTTCTTTCCTGGCTTGTAGACCGTCTGAGTACCTCTTAAAGCCTCAAAGTTCACATGGGCCATATTTCTCACACTCCAGATCATATCTTGAGCATAGTCCAAGCTCTTGAGTGCAATAGCCTCAAGCAAGTATATCGTCACCTGCCCATGAGTAAAGTCAGGATTGTGAGGATGGTATTGTTTCGGTCTATCGGCCTTCTTGCTGTGAGACCCTCGACCAGTCTGCTGTGCAGATCTTCCTCCACGGCCACCTCGACCGCTTCTGCCTTGTTTCTTCCACCAGGCATCTTGCTCTGTAGTTCCTCCTACTTTGCAATGTTCAAAAATTACCTTTGTTGATTGACTGTCAGATAATCAACTCCGTAGCTGTAATGAGAGCCTCAACGCTCTAGCTACCTCTGGAGTATACTGAGCTCGAATCTACATCGGCTATGGATTGCCTACAATAGGAACAGGTGCCAGTGATGCTGGGCTTCTACCTGCGGATGAACAGTCTCACCACTTCCTATTAGATCTTATTCTACTGCTATTCTTGCCAGAAGTCGATCAACAATGATCTCCACAAGCAGGTACAAAAAATCTCTTCCGGAAGTCATCTGCGTCAGCTCTCACCAGCTTTCGCGGCGTATAAAGCACATACGCACATGTTCTTCACGAACTAGTCACAGATCTAGATCTACCTTCAATACTTATCCATCTCTGTACGTACTCGAACCGTACTCCCGTCTGTGTTCGATATCACGAATGTCCAACTTCACTGTCCGACATGTTCGACTGTTCTTTTATCTATTAAGGTCCCATTTCACCAACACTTTAGTCCACTCTGCAATCAGTATAGTCCTCACGTCGACATGAGAAAGTTGACTCCCCTTCAGCGGAGAGGTCGCCCAATAATGCATACTGCATCAGATATCCTTGGGCTGAACTTGGCATGGTCCAGAACAAAGGGGTCAATCCAGTCCCTTTCCATCATATTTGGCATGACTGCTACCAATGTCCATCGCTACCTGTACTTTGGACGGCGTATTCTCATAATGGTGCTTCAAAGTCACCCTGATGCTGCCATCCGCATCCCATCAGCTGAGAAGATTGAGGAATACAAGCAAGCGGTCAACAATAAGCACAATCTCCTGACTGATGTCTGGTGCTGTTTTGACGGTCTGAAGCTGGGAACCCAAGCTCCTACCAATGCAGGTCTTCAGCGTATCTTCTACAATGCATGGAAAGCAGACACCTTTGTGAAAGGTGTCTTTGCATTTGTCCCAGATGGCAAGATTGTGATTGCCTACTTTAATGTCCCTGGAAGTGTACATGATAGTCAGCTGGCCTATCTTGGAAACATATATGGCAAATTAAAGAGTGTCTATGATCAATGTGGTGGTATTGCTGTTGGCGATTCTGCTTTTGCTGCTTGCGAGAGGGACTACATCATCAAGTCCAGCGCAAACAACAAAGATGGGCCGCCGCCCAACCTAAACTTCATGTCAGAAGAAGAGCTACATGATTATCTTGTGAATAACCAGGCTACATCATTGCGTCAGACTTCTGAATGGGGTATGCGTGGCCTCCAATCATCATTTCCCAGACTCAATGATCGTATTCATTATGAACAGTACAGTGAAAGGAAGTACATCATGAAATTGTTCTTACTTTTGTACAATCTTCGGGCATCAAGAGTGGGCATTAACCAAATCACCAACACATACATGCCACATCTAAATCAAGAAGCCGACAACTTGTTCCCTCAGTTCAATGATGCTCCAAATGATTAACAAAAAGCAAGTAGATATATGTGGGTGTAGGCAAGTGCATAATACCTACTAGTAGTAAGTGATTAGGTGTGTCTATAGAAAGCAAGTACTGTGAGTCAACAAGCTCACAAGCATTCCCAAATCATCGGATTTTAATAGTGTATTTTGCTATGAGTTGACAAGCTAACATGGATTCCTAAACCTAAATCATCGAATTTTCGTAGACTCTCTACTTCTTTGGAGGGCCCTTTGGAGCATCCTTTGGAGGAGTAATCTTGTTGATTCCAGTCAACTTCTTGCTCTTCTGGTAGTAATGTTGCTTCTGATGAGAAGGATCAAAGGTATCATAAACACTGGACACTGTTGATATGTCACTATTTTCAACTTCAGTATCAATAACAGCAAGAGGCGACTCCACAGTACCGACAATGGTTTCTTGTGTTGCCTCTTGGGTCTGCAATTCCATTGAGGCTGAAAGAAGCTGGCTCGGCATGTTTCTGCCACCAGGAGCAGTGGGGCTGCTGAAAGGGTTCACAGGATTTGAGGCAGTAGAAGAACCAGCAAGGAGTGCAAACATCTGCATCTGTTGCTGGCTCTGCTGCATCTGGAGTTGCATCTCCATGCGAGTTTGTCCCAACTGCATTCTGAATTGGCGTTCTGCTCTTGCTTCATTTTGTCTAGCTTGTTCAATCTGCAATCTCATTTCGCGATCTTGTCTTGCATTCCTATCTTTGGCCTTGCGCTCGTGTCTTGCATTATTCATTGACTCAGTCTTTTGATAGACATCCATGGCGGCTGTAGCAACTGAAGTAATAGCTGAAGCTACAGGATCTTCCTTCTTAGACTTCTTGGAAGGCGGTGGCCGGGAAAGGGGTGCAAAACCAAAACCTTTATCTCCCATTGTCACTGGTCTTCCACCAGCTGGTGGGGTGGGAGAATTTGATTTGGACCACCCACTAGCTGGTGGGGTGGGAGAAGTTGATTTGGATCGTCCACCAGCCTGCAGGTTGGGAGAAGTTGATCTCAAAGCTGAAGATGGACCAAAGCTGACGCTTGGTAGTCCATCTCTTGCAGGAACTTTGGGGTGATGGTCTGCTGAAATTGTTTCTTTTCAAGAATGTTGGAGGTGACTGAAGCACTGGACAAATTGATTAGTTGCATATCGAAATATACAAGTTCTTGAATCGCAGGCTATCAAGGGCAACTAAGTCAATGCACTTACACCGTGTGATTTCTTCATCCTCAGAAGAACTTTCTGCAGCCGCACGGTAGCGATCCATTTGTGCCTGGAGCCTTTGTGCCTCGTCCAGCATATTGTCATCTTCAGCAGCACCCTTGCAATTTCTAGAAGCCTCAACTTCGCCATCATTTGCAGTCTTGCCAGCATCATTGAAGGCCTCTCCGTTGATATTATTGTCTTAGTGGTTTGTGGCAACGCCTCCGTTGCCATTGCTATTGCCACCATTTTCGCCACTGCCATCATCATTGTCACTATCACTGCCGCCGGCAACAAACTCATCATCAGACCCTCCACTTGATCCATCCATTCGGATCCGAATCTCTGCAGCTATGCTCCTGGCTTGAAGAACTTCCCAACCAGGTTCAGTGTCACCTGAAGGTTCAACTGCACGGATCAACTTGTTGAATTTCTGGCGAATGGAGTCCCATGGACGAGGCTGCTCAAGTTTCTGATTGATGAGATCAGCACATTTCATCCATTCAGGAGCAGTGATAGGAAGCCACACTCGAAGAACTTCAAACACAGTTTCAAACTCTTTGCGAGTGTAGGCTCTGCCACGGGGGCGCCTTGGTTGTCCTCTTCCTCCTCCTCTTCCACGGCCACCTTGGCCATGACGTCCTTGATGAACAGGAACTTGATTAGTTAAAATATATGATGGGTGAATTTGCTGGTGTGTGATGTCTCTCAATATAATGGTTCGTACCTGCTCTTCCTCCTCCTCTTGCCATAATTCTCTTTGTCAGCTGATCAAAATGCTGTCAAGCCAAATTGTGAGGGCTGGTTGTTCTATGCTTCAGTGTTGCAAAAAGAAGAATTCTCGGAAGCCTCGGCATTTTAGTTCAGAGTCTTCACAGCAGGAGCCGGAAGATTCATATAGTTTCTTCACCACAGACGGAAGATAGACAGGTTTCCGAACAATTTTTGCAAAAGTGCCATTGTTCTGCATGAAGGAAATAGATATGGTGCCAATGCATATGTAAAACAACTGGATGCAAAACGGCTCATAATTCTGCCTCAAGTTGAAGGATGCTCAAGAACATTCTAAGATCCGTCTTTTTGAGATCCAAAAAGTGAGAACTTTTTGACAGTGAGAAGTAGTTGAAGACATCTTCCTTTCGTTTGTTGGCAGTTGTTCCTCTTTGTCGACGTGTGCTTGACAGTGGTTCCTCTTCATCGACATGTCTTGAAAGTATTGGCTATATTACGCAAATTGACCGAACAACGAAAAACCATGGAAGAGAAGTCAGACTAGTCCATTTTTACCCATGGTCGGGGAGATCCCCAGAAGTTCTTTTGACCCAAAAAAGAAGTGCAGAGGTAGCCCCAATTTATAGAAAATGAAAGAAAAGAAATTTGCCAA